TCATGCCCATTAAAGAACTCATTTCTTTTGGGATTTTTCTGAAAAACGTTGATTAAAGGCACAAACAATGTAAATTTTCAGTTACCAGGGACTCTTAAGATAACAAATAGCTAATCTTTTGCCGCCATTTTCTCACTAATTTTACCTCTGAAAACAGGTGACCCCCACCTCCTTCTTTCGCATATATCTCGACTGGTTTTTAAGATAAATGGATATTTTTTTCACTCAAATAAAGACACGTGAAGAAGCTTTAACATGCTACCAATAACTCTAAATGCCCAGAAATTGACAAGAGCCTGATTCCACCATGCTGCCTCACACCCTTGCATCAGTTCACACCCTTGGCCACAGCGAAAGATAATTCCAAGAACAAAAAATATTGTATCCAGATTGTCAACAATGAAACAGTAACAATAAAGTACATTTTATTAATGCTTTCTATGCTAATCATAGTATTAGTTTTGTATTGCTACAATAGCTGCTGCTGCTGTTGCTGAGAACTGCCAGTACAAGAACTATTTGTGCTGCTGCCGCTGCGATATCGGAGTTAGACTCAAGTATTAAATCATTGAGTAAGACAGTCTTTTTTTTAGCTTGACTGTGTGTTCAGTAGAATAAATTTAAGATTACTTGACAAGTCAGTTACGGTGTTGTTTGTGTCAAGGGGAAAAAAAAACAACCTTTATATTATGGAAGGTGGGGTTATAATATATATATATATATATATATATATATATATATATATATATATATATATATATATATATATATGGGGTTGATGCGCGTCAGGTAAGTATGTATTGTAACCGGTTTGGATGACGCGTTTCGACACGTGTCAAGACGGCCTGCTGAAACCGAAATGGTTACGCACATGGCTGGCTGGGCCAGGACACTTTTTCCCCAGCTGCAGGTGTCCCCGTTTCGGAAAGTCTCAATTAAAACTTTTTTTTTTCAAACCTCAATTATTGGGGACACGTATCAAGCTATTTACTCCTCATTAAGCAAATAAAACAAAAATTGAAAATTTGGCGTGTAGCCGGTTTGGGAATAACACCGAAGATTTGACCAATGCGCATCCGATTTTAGGAAGATCATTGACACCCAAGGAGATATCCCAATAGAATGAAAAGATAGCACTGACTTGACTTGGTGTGTGGGTAAACTAAGGACACTTGAGCTGGGAGCTTTCAGAAATCAGAGTAGATTGTTGGGTTAACATCAAAACGAGTAAAAATGTCTCTTTGTTTGTGGCAATTACGGAGGAACGCGGATACGGCTTCATATACATTATTTTTTTTATTTTTTTTTTACAATGTACTTTCTTTACATGTTTATTATGAGGAATTTTAAAATGTTAATTTTAAAAAAAACAGCTCTCTATTAATATCAGGGGAACTAAACGTGTAATATATTTCCAAAGTGAATGTTTCTTTTGGTTGTTTCCCTTTAAATGTATTTGCTTGTGTCATGAAACCTTTGATTACTCTATTTTAATGGTGTCCAACAACGGATAGAACAGGCCGGGCCGATCGCCCGAAACGGTCGCCTCAAGTAAAAAACAAACGTGTTTGTTTTCCGTTTCAGGCGATAGAGTCGGGCGAACGACCCAATCCAGCCGTAGTGGGCACCCCGTATTACTCTTACTTACTGATCTCACGTGCAGCAGGTGGTCTTATGAGAAGAGCAACGCGTCACGAACACAGACTCGAGCTTGTCGCTTTTTAGGACAAGCGGGCTAACCCAGATTTCGGTGGTTTCCAGAAATCTTGACCGACACCAAAAGAGGGCATTGTCCTACCTATAGGAGGAGTTTGGTTTCATTAGTGTGTGTTTGTTTGCAGAAAAAGGGGCAAAAACTAAAAACGTTACCTTCGATTTTCTCAAAACAGCATTTTTTCGGGATAACCCCCTTGTGCTTAAGAGTGACCAACTATAGGCTCCATATTTTTTTATTTTTTTTAAATAAGTGTTTTACGGCGCTCGCATAAAGTGACATGAGCGCGCGGGACACATTAAACATTTTCGGTTTTTAGGAAATTTTGAAGTTTGCCCGGACGGCGGCCGAAGCCAACTCTTATCGATTTTTGACCACCAAGGGATCTTTATCGCGCGTTACTTGCACACGGGACCTCCGAGATTTTTCGTTTTTATTCGAGAAGGCTAGGTGTAGATATTTAGATCTTTCCTACCATAAGATCAGGGGTGCGGCTCAAAGACAGCAGTAAGAAGGAGCCAAGGAGATAGCAGTAGATGGAATCAGGAGCCCAGAGGAGGGGGCAAAGGAGGTAAGGGGGTTGGGGCAGAAAATAGAAACGAAAGCAGACCACAGATCTTTGTTAGAGAGCAGGAAACGGTGCGAAAGGAGAACATTTTAGAGAAGAAAAATTTCTGTCGCTATCCGGATTCGAACCCGGGACCTATTAACGAGAGCCCCCGAACTATAGACTACAATGTAATATCCCAGATCGGGCACAACTGTTAAGGTCGCCTCTTTTTGTTCTCTGCAAAGACTTCGCTGCACACGTGAGCACCATGGACGCGCTAAAAAAAAAGGGCAGAACACAAGACTTGTTACAGTCGAGCCCGCGTATGAATTCAAATCCCATGCAAGGGAAGCTTTCTTTTTTTAAAATTAATCGAGTACATAAACATGTCTGTACCAGAATGTCTTATCTACGAGGGACGTCCAGAAAGTAAGTAGGCCTACCATTTTAAAATAATTATAAAAGAAATACGTAGTCACCAGAACTGTTGAGGCATTTGTCGCAGATCTATAATATTTTATGAGGTCATACCTCACTCACCACCGGTTAGCTGCATGCAATGCCGGCAGGGTCGAACAAAGCCTCCAGCCTACTACATAATCAGGAACCCCCCCTTGCAAAGTCCTAAAATATAAAACAAACTCGCCAAGCGAATGGCGTCTCTGCTACCCCCACATAGACTGTAGCCTTGGTTGCTGGGTTTTTTTTCGGGTTTTTTCCCCCATTAAGTAAGGTTTGACGGCATAAGGTCATATGAGCGCCAATGGGTGGATGTCAACAGAGAAGTCCAAACGGGGAATCAGGCTTACTCTGCTCACATCTCTAGCCTCAACAGCACAAAGTCTGCTTCGACTATCAAGGCACCCTGACAATACATGTAGCAGTTCACAAGAGAGCGACAAACATATACAAGAAGTAGAGGAGATATGACGATAGTAAGAATGAGGAAAGAAAAAGCAGCAGTTCCCCCCTATGTTGTTCCGGCACAGTATGATCTTCACATTGATAAATCAACCCATTTGCAATTCTACTGTGCATAAGAACACCCCTTTTTTTTTGGGGGGGGGGTTCAGCCTTGGGATATGTGTAGTAGGTCCAAAAAGTTTCCAGTGGAGGGCTGACTTAGACCTTTACCCTACAATGTGTCCATGTAGGCGTTTGTCTGTTTGTTTGCTTGAGTAAAAAGAAGCACATCGACCCTATCATCATCATCATCATCATCATCATCATCATCCAGTGCCAGATCTGAAACAGACATCGGTGATCATGGTTCTCCATTCATTCCTTTGCTAGGATGCTCTTTAAAAAGCTACGTTTCCCTGATCATTCCCTGTCACCCACTTGTTCAGGTTCCCCAAGTAGGTTGCTCTGGGCCTACCCAATAATGCCCATTTAATGCTGGGAGAAATTAAGACAGACATACAGAAACAACAGAGGGAAAGTAAAGAAGAGGGAACAACCAGTCTCGGTAGCGTCCTCCAACTACCCGCATTGAAGGCGTAACACTCAACATATGTGAGACGTGCTGACAAAAGGAGTTACTTCTCACAATCCACAAATAGAGATATTGGCCAAAAATCGTCACAGGGGTCAATTTTGTAGATTTTCTATTGATGCCATATACTTTAAGTATAACATGCCTTTTATTGTTTCATACTAAATAAATCGTAAAAAGTTCACCTATAAGCGTGATGTATCTAATTTGATAGGGCTCGCATCCAAGAAGTAACTCCTTTTGTCAGCACACAACACATATATATCAATCCGTCAAAAGATCAAGAACTGTGTGTACACTGAATTTGGAAGCACTCAAACTGTGAATTAATGGGTACGGTGCTTGGCATTTGGCAGAGACGAAAAAATATGTGAAAAATTCTAGTTTACTCCTACCAGTCTGCATTACTATAATTCAGGAATAATAATAGGCCTAAATGTCTCCCGAGGAATGAAGGTTTCACACTTTTCAAGTGTAAGTGTTTTACGCCCACACCGACACAATGTAAGTCATTTAATAGGCAGGCTCTGACCTTGGGCTGAAAGGATCCAAAATCCCAGAAGAAAGACTGAGACACTCAATAAAAATTCTCCCTATACAAGGAAACTGAACTCCGGTCTTTTGCGTGTGAAGGCGATGCACCTATCCGATACATATTGCCTATGCTGGTGCTGTGAAACTAGTAAATATGATTTGCTTTAGTAGAGGTTTCACGGCGCTCGCAACTGTATAAGGTCATATGAGTGCCAAGGGGTGGATTTCAGCAGAGCAGTCCTTACAGGGAATCAGACTTACTCTGCTCACCTCTCTAGCTTCAACAGCACAAAGTCTGCTTCGACTATCAAGGCACCCCAGAAACGGAAGGTCACAAGAGTGTGACAAATATAAAAAAAAAAAGTTGAGGAAAAAAGACGATAGCAAGGATTAGAAAAAAAAAAAAAGCTACAGTTCCCAGTTGCAGTTCAGGCACAGTTATGAGATTGACATGAATCAGTCCATTTACAATTCTACTGTGCATAAGAACAGGTTGATGCCCCCCCCCCCTTGGGAATGGTCTACTAAAGACACTTCAATTAGTAGCACCACCCCGGGGGTGAGTAAATATGAAGAAACTGACCAGGAACAGGTAGGTTTATGTAATGTGAAGTTTTATGGTCCTTCCATTGGAGGGATAAATGGCTTTAAAAAACAACACCAAAAGCAATCTCATACACAATCACACAATTCAGGAGGCAGACTGGTTTGTTCGACTTTTAACATTTTTATTCGACATCATGATGCAAAAAAAGAGCATGGATAGCTTATCCAAAGAAAATAACAGCTTCCAAATTACATAATCCTATCACTATTTGGTTCGTCCCAAAATATAGAACAGGAATCTGAGTCCATAACAGCTCTTTTCATAAGACAGAGAAGACAATATCTTTTAGAAACGTTTTCTCCAGTCTATCATGGTGCTGAGGTAATGTATATATATACCTATATAAAGAAAAGCGATTTATGCAAGAGAGATTTGCCACCACATGCTGCTTTTCGAGGGATGAAAAGATGCTGTTGAAAACCCCAAAACTCATAATGTAAATTCAAAACAAATGAGAATTTCTTTTGAACGATTGTTGTCACACAATTGCCGAGATTGCATTAAAAATGTATGTATTGCTTTGCTTATTCAAAAATGATATTCCAGTGGTGGAGAAGATTGCTTATAAATGCATAATATGCAATCTACAGAGATTCTTAGGTCAAATATTTTTCAAACAATTGTACAGCAGTTCAAGAAAAACAAAGTTGGTGTGGTTTGAACGTTCAGATTGCTGGAAACAAATATGAAAGTAAACATTACAACAGCTTAACGGAGCATTTCTAAAGTTTTCTTTTCAAACGGCTTTCACAAGAATTCAAAAGGCACTTTCATTTCAAACAAAACAATGTTTAAAAATGTGCGACCATCGAAACAACTCACCATTTCCCCACGTTTTCAATACCACTGCAAAAGTAAAAGAGTTCTTTTCCGAGTAACAATGCATCATAAGTCTACATGAAACAACAATGCCGTTAGTCGCGTCGTCTATGGGTAAAACAACAAAACAAACCCACAGAACACTCCCGTGAACATGCAGAAAACAGTAAGCTTATCACAAAGAAGGCTATCAAAAAGAAAGGCATTGTGAAGGCTGTATGAGAAGTAGCAAACATATTGTAAAAAATTTACTTAAAAATAACGAAAACCACAGACATTAAGCACCATGAAATCATCGGAAATTTTGTGTCATCATAATAAAAAAACCACTCTTTAGTAGACTTTTAAGGCTCTAGATGTTTCTCTAGTTGACTTTGTTCAAGACAATCTTTACATCTGGTACCAGTACCTGAGAAAATGATGATTAATTCGTCTATTCAGTGACATTTCAAATCTTTTAACAAACTGAAAGTGATCTGATTCTATATTAAGATTGTTTGATTTTTATGAGAAAACTATTACATAAATCACAGTCATTTCCGTGACCAAACTAAACCAAGAGAGACAAATACGGTACTGTATTTCCTCACAAACTTCTTCCAGATCGAAATATTAAAGCTTCCTATAAATCAGAAAATAAACACAACAAAATGTGAATGTTCAAAGCCACAAGAGAAATCATAGCGGAATTCGTCCCGTTTCTTGGAATAAGAAATGTTGGAATTACAATACACTTAAGTTCACGGAATTGGTCCCATTTCTTGGAATCATGAGTAATCTTGGAGCTACAATACAACAAAGTTAAAAAAATGAATTTCAACTGTGGAAATCAGTCATTAACTTGTTTTTGTAAAACCAGATACATCGAACATAACAAAACCTCTCCTCCCCTGCACAAATCATTGACTTTGGTAAGCATGAAAGCCACATTCTATCAACTTTCAATCCAACACACAAAGACGAAAAGACTAGTATTTGAAATTTAGTTAACCTTGTCTTCATTTTCTGCCTTCTTACTTTCAAACAATACGAGCCCAACAAGTCCTCGACATCTGTGGCAGACTTTCAAACATAACGATTTAAAAAATGCTTAGCTTTTAGACTCATCTTGCATAGGAAAGTGTACGCAAGCTTGGCCTATACATGTGTGTACACTTTTGGTCTGTAGACAAATGTAAAGTGAGAGATGACAATGGAAATTTTGCAAAGCACTGATGATCCTAACAATAGCTGCGGATAACCGACATCTAACATACAGTTTTTAAAAAAATGCATACACCAAATGAATGCTTTCTTTTCCTTTCGACACACTAGCTTTTCCACAAGGCGGTTTCTCATAAAGGAACAAATGTAGATGTGGTTAAAACACATCTGTTACTAGAACCACAGTTATATGCGTGCAGCATTTAGATAATACAAAGATGTTACAAAATCTAATCCACAATAGCCCTGGTTTTGCCGAAGTTCTGACCGGCCTGTGATGCGCCCTTGTTGGATCCCATTTGCAATCCAATGATGTTCTGGCCAGCCTTAAGTTGCTCATCTGTCCACTGGTGGGTCTCTCCCTTTGACTCAGCTTTGCCGAAACCTTCACGGCCTTCGGTGAGCAACTGAAAATACAGTTACGGCACATATTACGACATAATTTAAAAGAGCTGTGATGACTTTTTCTTCTATCAAAACACTTTTTTGCATAGGAAGACACAGAATTTTCATAGGAAAAGGTTACACTGATGAACAAACAGCACCTGAAGCAGGCACAGTTATACTCAGAAGGAACTGTGAAAATCCAGATCCAAAATACGAAAGAACAACAATAATAATTCAAAGACATTTAACACTTTAGGGACATATCAGACACACTTGTCTGACCAGAGACAGATCAAAGGAAATGCTGTGGCTCATTTTGAACCTACATACACAAACCTAGAAACACAAGATTGAACATTTCATAGTAAACATGACGCTTTTTAACCTTTCTAAGGCTCAGAAAAAAATATTTAGCCTATTGAGAAAATCTGTACGAATAACGATTTTACATCTAAAATTTAAAAAAAAAGTTTTTAAAAAAGAAGGTAGGAATCAACTTACAGCACGTCCAAGAGCCTCGATGGTGAGAATAACTTGCACCAAGTTGACCTTCTCGTACAGATCGACAGTCTGGAAGAGCTCTGCCTTCTTGACCAGTCCACCCTCGCTGATGTCAATGGCCTTGAGGAAGAGGCCGATCAGCTCCATCTGCTTGAAGGCCATGGAGGGAGCCTTGGACACCTTGTTGGCCCCCACACTGCCTGGCTTCACCCAGTTAGCCAGTCTGCGGGGAGAGAGGGGGAGGGGGAAAAACAGAGAGGCGCTCGGTAAAATAAGGCTTATTTTGCTTTGTTTGCTTGAGTAAGCTTTTACTCAAAGTGTAACTTTGCGACACAATAAGGTCATATAAGTGCCACAGGTTAGAGGTGTTACAAGAGAGTAACACACACAAAAAAGGAGGAGATTTAGTTTTAGTTTTAGTAGAGGCTTTACGGCTCTCGCAACTGCATAAGGTCATATGAGCACCAGAAGATTAGAGGTGTTAATAATAATAATAATAATAAATAGCATTTATACTGCGCATTTCCATTTCCTAAAAGATGCTCAATGCGCATTACAATGAAAAAGACATCACATCTTAAAAATTAATCGACACAAATGTGTAAGTAAAACAAAGTATTATACATATAATATAAATGCATATGTGTAAAATTTTATACCAGAAAAACAGTCTCGCAGTGAGGTTGAAAATGTGTTCACTAAAAATATTCAATACAATATAAATTCACGAACAGTCAAAATACAGTTGAAACGTGAGTAACTAGAAAAATTCATTAAAACATTAATTCTATACAGATAGAAAAACATTTCCGCTCTCTCTCTCTCTGTCTGTCTCTCTCTCTCTCTCCCTCTCTCTCTCTCCCTCCCTCTATCTCTCTCTCTTTCTCTCTCCCTCTCTCGCTATCTCTCTCTTTTCTCTCTCTATCTCTCTTTTTTTCTCTCTCTCATTCTCACTCGCTATTTCTTCAGTCTCACAGTCTGGCATACACATGCATATATATCACAGTACATCATTATGACAGGTATGCTTTTGTGAATAAAAAATGCTTCAGCTGATTTTTGAAAATGGAAATTGTTGGGGCAGATCTTATTTTATATGGGATTTCGTTCCATACCTGGGGACCAAAGAACAAAAAGGAACGCTCGCCGTATGTTTTGTAGTTTTGTTTTGGAGTTTTAAGAATTAGATTGTCAGAGGCTGATCTAAGGGCTCTAGGTGGATTATATAATTCCAGGAATGTTTTAAGATAAAAAGGTGCACTATCATTTATACATTTAAAACAGAGAACGGCAGTTTTGTATTTAATCCTTTCTTTTATTGGCAGCCAGTGTAGTTCTTTCAGAATTGGTGTTACGTGGGCTGATTTCTTTTGTTTCATTATCAATTTTGCTGCTTGATTTTGAAGTACTTGTAACTTTGATAGTTTTTCGGATGTCAAACCGGACAAAATAACATTACAGTAATCTAACTTTGATAAAATGAGTGTTGTTACAAGTGTCTTGGCTGCTGCTTTAGTTAAATAATTTCTTACACTGCCAATTTTCTTAAACTGAAAGTAAATACTTTTGCTGAGCTGGCTTATTTGGGAGGACATAGACATATCATAATCCAACTGAACCCCTAGATTTTTAAGACTTCTTTTTGAACGAATGGTATGGTTATTAATATCAATTTGTAGCTCTGGGAGATTTTTAATGGCTTTTGTATTTCCACTCAACATTATTTCCGTCTTGTCATCATTTAGTTTCAATTTATTGCTGGTCATCCATATTTTTAAATCTCTAGTACAAGAGAGTAACAAGCATAATAAAGAAGAAGGAGAGAAAAGGATTGTAGATGTTTCATAGGAAAGAAGAAGTCAACCACACTTGAGCACCCGTCAACCACCCACAGAAGGGGGAGACCAGGACAATATTGACGTTTGATATGAAAGAAGGAGCAAACCACACCAGAGCACCCGCCAACCACACACTTGTTTTGAGTAAAGAGAAGCATATCGACACAATAATAACCATTAAGTGCTGGGGAAAAAGTAAAAACAGACAGATATAAACAACAGAGGAAAAGTAAGGAGAAGGACCTACCAGTGGCGCCATTAAACCATCTGCGTGTTAAGTAAGGTTTGTAAAGAGGTTTCATTCAGTTAAGTAAAGTTTGTGGAGAGGAAGGACTCAAAGTCCGCAAAGTAAGGGGCGAAAAGATGGGTTTTTTAAAAAGGTTTAGTAAGAGTTTTACGGCGTTTGCTAAAAAAAATTGGTCATATAAGTACCAAAGATTACCGGCGTAGTGTGACAACTAGGGAGCAACATTGTACATTGTACAAAGAATAGATGGAAGAGAGAGAAATAAGAACGACAGGCATTTGATAGGAAAGAAGGAGCAAATCATACCAGAGCATCTACCAACTAGTCAGTTGGTTAAGAGGCTTGATTCAATAAACTAAGGTTTCTAGAGAGGCTTGATTCAGTAATGTAAGGTTCATAGAGAGGCTTGATTCAGTAAAGTAAGGTTAATAGAAAGGCTTGATTCAGTAAAGTAAGATTTGTTGAGAGACTAGACTGAGTAAGGTCATTTTATAGACAGGCTTGATTCAGTAAAGTAATGTTTGTAGAGAGACTAGATTTAGTACACTGCCAAAACTGAAATGTCGGTAATCGAGGCGCGTCCTTGAATAAAACACTATTGATCAAGAAGTGTATATAAATATAATGTCTGCATAAAATCTCAATGTGCCAGCTGTTGCCATTTGGCTGATTTAGCCTCTCAGTGACAAAACTGATCGTTCTTTTTTTAAGTTGAAGGATTAACTTATTATGTCCAGCATCGATCACAAGACTTCAATAGAAAACTGGCCCCACCCATTAGTTTTTATCAAAGATGACTTTGAAGAGAAACCCAGTAAATCTGGAGGAATCCATTTGTTTCCCACACCCGTGACAAAAGGAGGAACATTTCAATCTGCTGAGTACAGACAAATAGGTACACTACAATACGGACAAACAGTATCAGGGTCTGCGATGTAATGATTCCCTACTATACATGTGATGGTAATGGCTTCTATGCAATGCATACTGTATAAACAGTTTATAAGGTGACAACGAAAACAAAGAAGACATACAAGGAAAATGACAATGATGTAACCAACGCACCCACCTGCCAAAGACAAAGACTAGTTTTGATTGATTTAGGCAACGACAAAAAATAAAGACAAAAAACGACAGTGACTAAAAAAAACGACAGCACAGCTGCCAAAAAAACATACACTACATAGTTTTAGTTCTAAGTAAGCATTTTACGGCTCTTGCAACACAATAAGGTCATATAAATGTCAAAGATTAGAGGTGCTACAAGACAGAGAGTATTAAATACAAAAAAGAAGGAGAACAGCAGATAAGGACGATAGACGTTTGATAGAAGGAAAGAAAGAGCAACCAAACCACAGCAGAGCACCTGCCAAACACCCGCACAACGACCACTGTAACATGTGGGCCCATTGGGGGGAATAGGGTCGATTTGCTAGCCAGATTGGGGGCGCAAATACGGGGTGCTCACTGCGGATGGGATCGGGTCAGGGGCGATCACCCGACTCGTCGCCGGAAAACAAACGCGTTTGTTTTTGAGGTGACGAGTCGGGCGCAAACGGCTTGTGCCACGATAGCTGCTTTGCGCCTCAATCTGGCTAGCAAACCGCCCTCACCTGACCCGATTCCCCAAGGGCACCATCGTGGCACAAGCCGAAAACAGGCGACGAGTCCGGCAATCGACCAGACCCAACCCGACCCCATCCGCAATGGGCACACGGTATAACAACGACGCCCCTC